ATAAATGTCAAATCTTTATTTCTTTCAAGTTTAAAGCCAGATTTTTGCTCCAAAGTGAAAGTTGTAGAAACCAGACCATTAATTTTCCTTAAAAATATCTAAATAGAAAAATGTATTTCTTAGTTTCTGCTTGTTCTAATGAGTAACATTGTTTCAATTAAGAAACAGGTTTGGGTTGCCTGATAATATTAATAATATCATCACTTTTTGTCTCTTAGAAATGCACATTTGATAGTAGCTTGAGTTAGGATGCAGAGGTACATTTTTGTTCATTATCAAAATCAGTAACATCTTTTTGAATTTGAAAAGTTTTATATGGTTAAATTTATTCTGACAAAGTTTTTATTTATTTATTTTTTAAATTAAGCATTGGTCTCCCATAGTAGCATACATTTAAATAATGATAAACACCGTTAAAACTACACACATTGCACCTCAATACCATGGTAAAAATATAACTATATGGTTTTTAGGTAGCCTATTTGTATGAAAAACAGTCTAAAAACATTCAGTATAAATGCACATGCACAATACATGCTTACAAGTATATACCATTATTTTAATGAAATTCAGTGTGAATATCCCAAATTTCTGCCACAATACCATGGTGCAGTGAGTGTTACTACAGTAAATCCATGGTAAATGATGGAGATTTGTAGATTGAAAAGCCTTCTGACTGTCTCGTTGCACACAGTGTTTCTCCTGTTTGGCTTTAAACTAGTTTAAATCACCGAGTCATTTGTGTTCATCGCTGAATTCAAGCGCTTCACACTGGATCTCACAGTGCTGCTTAATGCTCGTGTGATCGCGCCGCGTGGCAGTTTGAGCTGATCTGAGTGGATAAACGGTCCGTGTGGAGCGATTCAAATGAGTCGCGCTGTTTCGTTCCGCTTTTGGCTCATAAACAATATATCGAACATTTATCGAACTCTTCATATCGTTTTATCGAGGAAAAATTATATTGCGATAATTATCGTTATCGAATTATCGCCCAGCCCTATGCTCATATAAAACAAAAAATCTCAGACGGACTGAGAGGTTTTTCTATCTGAAGTCTTCAAATGCACATTGAATTTCTTCAACAAAAATTCAGTTCTTGGGACTGTGAATGTATAATCTGATGTTTTATTTTGTTAATATTTGACTACAGTGCAATCCATCTCTTCAGTTGCAATCCTCAGCATATTATTGGAAATAATTATGAATCATTTCAAAATCAAATCAGACCGAGTTGTGACCATTTCATATTTGCCCAACTCGATATCAATGCTTGGAATTTTGAAATAAGACATTTGATGAACAAGTATACTTTTCACAAAGGTATGTTGGTGTAGTGGTTAAAGAGTAACCTTAAAGGTCCTAAATTCAAACCAAACGAGTGATCCGTAAACTGGACAGTTGCTGAGTTACCCAGTAACCACTGCACTCCTGAGGAAAGGGATGAACCTGTTGTAAACGCGCCATTCTTTGCATTGGATTAGATGTGTCTCCTAAATGTCTCATTCTTTGCATTATAGGACTGGAATCATATGGGTAAACAAAACCCATGGCTTCTTTTCACGTGACCCCTACAATAGTCCAGATCTTCAAATGAATGAGGCAGTGCCCTTGCTGTGTGTTTGAAGAAAAGGCTTATGAGTCTGAAAGTCAATAGATCTAGACTCACAAGCCCAGTGGTGTGTGATCCTGCATTTAGAATAACTTTTTTAAATAAAATTCTTTCTTTCTTCACAAGGAAATAAATGTCTGTTTTTGCAGACGCTGTAAATTGTGGTGTTCGTCTTGCATACTGCAGAATAACCTACCAAATCTTCCAAGTATGGATCTCCTCCTGCTCTGCTATCTCCTCTCCTCCATTTGCACCCCATCCAGGGGTATAATCAGTCCGGTGGTTAATGTTTAGAAGATGTAGTCCAAAGGGTTCACATCTGCTGTTAGCGATGTGCGATACAATGGCCCAACGGTTCATCAGCAGAGCAAGACTGCTTCCCTCCTAGGTTAATCGCATGCTAACCTCTACTACAAAAGTCTCATGTTGCTGTTGATGCCTTGTTGTTCCTCCTCCTCTTGTCATGCTAATGCACTATTTGCACATGCAAAAAATGGACCCATTGTGCCAAGGTGTCTTCCAAAGGAGCAAGTGCTGTGTGTGTGTGTATCTGTGAAAGTGTGTCCGACTCCATCTCTGGTTTGAGTAATAAGTGTGAAGTGCTCCTCTCACGCTGGATTGAGGAAAGGCATGTGGGAACGAAGGCAGTTGTATTGGGGGAAGGGCTCATTAATTTCCACAGTTGTCTCTGTTTATACATAATGCTTGAATAGATAGTGTGGCGTATGGATGGACCGGAAGGTTTAATTTGTTGATTTAAATGCAAGCAATGTCCTGCACTAGGGTGAAACTTTAACCACGTATCCGTTCCCGTGGATTTTTAGTGACCTGTCCAGAGTCGTTACAGACCCAACAAACATTTGTAAATGTTTCTGCAGATCCCGGTGGAGAAACCGCTTGTGCTATCACTGTTGTTTTTATCTGTTCGACTTTAAAAGCTCTGAGGAGGCAGCAGACCAAATACCATACGTGTCTCTGTGTCGTCTCTCGCTCCGATGTCAAAGCTGGCAAAATGAAAACACTCTTTTTAGACGTTCCCCCTTTTGAAGCTGCACATCTGGTGGCTATTGTAATGACAGTTAACATAACATTTAGGATGAGTAATAATTATTCATGACATTTGTTTACAAGCAAAAGCAATTCGTGTTTGTGGTCTTTCTGTGCCTCTTGGTAAACATTCTTCTTTTGAAGGGAATTAAAAGGCCATCCGGCAATAGGAACATGTTTGCGGTTCCTGGATTTCAAAAGAAAACCACAGACTAATCATTCCACTTTTGCCAAGGCTATTCTCCTGAGTGGAATGTCATCATATCAAATGACAGCGCTTACGGACTTTTTACGGCTTCATTTTATTGTCACTTCATAAGCAAACGTTTGATCCTCTCTTTCGCAGGTGATGCCTTCCCAGGGGCCTCTAGCCCATTCCTCAGCGGATACGTCAGCAGTGCTCATGGGTCGTCGGATCCAGCCTTTCGAGCCCCAAACCCAGCCAGCTTGCAAATGGCCCAGCTCTGGGCTTCTTACCCTCATGAAGGTAAGAATCTCAGTCTTTCTATTGGCACTTTTGCACTGCGTGGTACAACTCGACACGGCTCGGCTCGGTTTGCGTTTCCACTGCAGTTCAGTACCGCTTTAGAGTGGGCAGGATTATTCACATGTTGTTATATCGCCGCCTCTATTGCCGCGACTCCTGAAAAACGTTTTCATTCCGCGTCGCCCCATCAAGCTCTCACTGGATCCGCTCCTCTGCTATCAACCTCAACAGACAACGAAACAGCCACTTTTTGGTTGTTACAAAAGGTGCGCTTGTTCAAAACAGTTGCGTTCGATCCTTCGCTGGCTGTGCTGATTTAAATCTAGCGGTTGTGTTTGTGTCGCAAGTTCAGTGACGTAGGTAGTGACGATTCTCGAGAGTTTACACGTCACCCTTTGGTAATGGTACGGTTCACTTGGAACCTTTGGAACAAAAAAAAAGTACCAGGTACTGTACCCAGTGGAAAACCCCCCAAAAGGGAACTGTACTGTGCCATACCATGCAGTGGAAAAGCTCCATAAGTGTCCTGTGAGAAATGGGGAGAAACGTTGGAGCATTTCAACGCTTAAAACGAAGCAAGACCTGCAATTGCAAGAGGCAGCTTGAATGTATTGGGTTTAACGATTAGGTTTGTTGGCAGATCAGTGAACTCAGACAAAGGCTGTAGTCAGAGGTCTGGGTGACCGGCAGGACTGGGTGGACGGGCTAATGGAAAAAACACACCCTCTACTATACGACCCACAGGGACTTTTAGGCGGCTTTGTATTTGAAGTTAATGGGAATCGACTTGGTATTGGAAGTATGAGCATGTGCTGTGGACTGTGCTTGAGCAGGTAAAGGTGCAGTATTGTTTTTGATAAGCGAGTGTGTGTGGGGTGGGTGGGGGGGGGGAGCTGGTTAAGTCTGTTGGCCAGTAATATGCAGTCATGTCTGATGTCTATGATGGATTACCCGCTCTCTCTCTTTTTTGAAGTCAATAAACTAGATTGGTGTGAATGGTGTGCAACGACTGTAGAAAAGACAATAAAAAATCAATTTCATCCCCGCAATCCTAATGTAGAATAGGCCACATCTGACAGCCGCTCTGCTGCAGCGTAATTGTAACCAATTCCTTTCTTGAAATAGCTGGTGTCGGTCAATAGTCAATATCTAAGAGCTTTGACAGAGCTTAAGATAGATATTAGTGCTGCAGTTCTTTGTATAACAGTACTATGTATATTATATTGCTGTCTTTAGCTTGAAGTAGCTTATAAGGGCTTAAAATAAGACATTTTTGTCTGTTGTCTGTACTAGTTAGTACTGTAGGACCAGTAGTTCAAATTACACAATAGTATAGTATAATAGTAATAGTACAATTTAAAATAACTTTTTTTTATTTGAATATATTTTAACGTGATTTATTCCTGTGATGGTAAAACTGAATTTTCAGCAGTCAATGCTCCAGTTTTCAGTGTCACATGATCCTTCAGAAATCATTCTAATATACTGATTGCTGCACAGAAACATTTCTTATTATCAGTGTTAATATGAATTAGAGAAACTGATTAATATTTTTGTGGAAACTGTGATACATATTTTCTTCAGGATTCTTTGATAAATAGAAACTTTAAAAAAAACATCATTAGTTTGAAATGGAAATCTTTTGAAACGTTTTAAATGACTTTACTGTCACTTTTGAACGATTGAATGTGTTTCTGATGATAAAAGAATTTCTTAAAAAAACCTTTTGAATAGTGATGTACTTTTTTTAAACAATTAAATTTAGGTTTATAAATGGCAATAAAATTAAACTAGTATAATGTAACACTGTGGCAGTAATGACCACTAAAGGCCCGGGTATACTTCACTTTCAGCATTCTGTTTCGTCTCGTGCACAGCCATGTTCGCACAGCTTTCAAAGTAAACTCAGCTGCGGATGAGCGTGGACAGACGAGCTCGACACAAGCGCAGTATCACCTACTTGACTTGCTCTGTCTCAACATTCACCTCTCGCTTGCGCTGTTGTACACGGACCTTCCACATGGTCACAAAAATTGGGCTGCACTTGGATGATGTGCACGGACTTCCGCAGACACTTCTGATGACGAAAATTGGGATGTCTGACAGCCATCGACAATGGACAATGGCATTGTCTATCGGCCCAGCCCTAGATAAAACCTGGCTTATATTACATTATCTAATAGCTAACGTTGTGAGCAGATATTTCAGTTTGCGCAAGACATGTATATGAACAACCAATATAAGCTTTAGTGTTAGTGCAACAATAGGCCGACAGGGCCAACGGCTGTTACGTAAACTGCCCCAAAACTCAGCGGTCCATAAAACCATTCTCGTTGTTGAGCCCTTGAGAGTTTTGAGATTCTTTTATTTTGCCCTGCGGTTGCATTACACATTTCCTTCATATTCTCTCCTCCTCATCTTAGTGTGTAAAGTCAAGCCCTTATCTGTGCTCTAACTTCAAACTTGCACGCTCAAGCAAGATGATTCATTCGGCACTGAAGCCGTTCCAGCCCCTGCCATTTTGAGAAGACAGGGATTTCAGCTCTCAAAATGGTTCACATGTATACCAAACAATCGAAAGAAAAGCAATGCTAGCTCGGTAAAAGGGTGTGGGCAGATTATTAACAAGGTTTGTTGAAGGGCCTTGTACCCATAGGCCTTTGTTTCAAGTCCCCACAGAGAAAGTACAGATGAATGGTCTAAAACCTTGGCACAGATCATAGCAAGCCTACCTCGCTCTGCCGGGGTAGAAATGCGATGAATAGCTGACATTGAAGTGTACACTGTCTCTGCAGCCTGTGAAAATATTTGAACAGGCCCGTTTATTCTGAAGGGTGCACCTGGCTCTTATTAACTGAAGGAAGTCAAAGTAGCAGCTGTGGAATTTTGGCTATTTTTACACAATGTGTGAAACAATCAGGCACGCCACACTCCCTCCGCTGCAGATTGCAAATACTCCATAATCAGAGGGAAAACACGCTGCCGTGCTGTCGGATTTATCTTTGAAGTTCAATTAATGAAACATGAATTGCAGCGAACTGTGAAATGTTACAGTTTGTTAGGACGTGGAGCTCGTATATATGTAGTGGGTATTTGCACGATAACCCCTCAGGCGGCGGTTAGCCTTAAAATACACAATTTATGCGAATGCACTAATGAGATTTTTGCGAGGACGAGGTCTTCCACAACAGTGGAGACTTGTGTGGCTTGGGTGACAGTTTGAACCTCGTCTCTTGTTTATATTAGACAAGAATCAGAGTATCCCTGGAATGTGTCCTCCCTGGTCTTAATTTATCTGCAGTGGTCTGTGGTTTGTAATCAGATGCGTGGCCCTTGAGGTCCGCTCACCTTTGGACTGTGCAGGAGATGATGGCTGCAGAGCAGCGCTGTGTGATTGATAGAGAATCCATGCCTGCTGCTCTCGTCACACGTTGGACTGCTCAGAAAGGAATGCCCCTCTTTGACTGATGATGGATTTGCTGGCGTAGGTAGCGCTTTGATGTTCTGCTGCGCTTCCTGTGGCGTCCCTGGGGTCCAGATGACGGATTTGAATTCTGATGTGTTTGTGAAATTGTAGATGTATAATAAAGATAATGAAAAGAGGGAGAGTAGAGGCGGATGCACGTTGGCAGAAATTCTGGAAGGTGCCTCTTTCTGGTGCACACAAATGGGTTTATTGAAATCGTTGGAGCTTCTTCTGACCTTTGCAGCCCCTCTGCACCTAAATACAGTTCCTCTCCTTCAAAGCCTTTTTCTGTGACTTTTATGTAGTCTTAACCTCAGGGAACAGTATTTCTCTTTTATGTCAGCAAAATTATGTCGTAGCATCTTTGCTTTAGTTAATGGCCTCCTTTTTTTTGACTCTTCCTTTTTGAGCTAAATTCCCCTCTCCACACGTAGCCCTTTTTTTTTATTTATTTATTTTTTTAAACCTTCCCCTGTTCTTAGTAATAGATGAGAGTAGAGGCGGATGCACGTTGGCAGAAATTCTGGAAGGTGCCTCTTTCTGGTGCACACAAATGGGTTTATTGAAATCGTTGGAGCTTCTTCTGACCTTTGCAGCCCCTCTGCACCTAAATACAGGTCTTGAAACAGTTCCTCTCCTTCAAAGCCTTTTTCTGTGACTTTTATGTAGTCTTAACCTCAGGGAACAGTATTTCTCTTTTATGTCAGCAAAATTATGTCGTAGCATCTTTGCTTTAGTTAATGGCCTCCTTTTTTTTGACTCTTCCTTTTTGAGCTAAATTCCCCTCTCCACACGTAGCCCTTTTTTTATTTTTTTTTATTTATTTATTTTTTTAAACCTTCCCCTGTTCTTAGTAATAGATCCCTAAAGAATGAGCTAGGTTAAATGGTTCTGTGCTCCAGAAAACGCACAAATTTCCTCTTTACTTTCACACTGACTAAACCAAATATTATGGGGAAATTCCACTTACTCTTTTAACTAACTACTTTTGTTTCCAGCAACTGTCTTAACGTGAAGGCCTAATTATTTGTATTAACATTCAACAACTGAGACACAAAATTTGGTGAACAAAATCTAAATGAGTTCTTGAATGTTATATTAGTTGTACAAAATCTTATTAGAAACATTTGTAGACTGACAGTTAAAATCAAATCCTTTAATTAAAATGCATACAAATGGATGTTGAAAATGGAAAAAAAAAGAGAGATTTCTTTCCAGTAATCATGAGGGCACTGAGAAGTCATGTAAATTCATTGGTCAAAATGTGTGGGAACCCTGTATCTAGCTTCCTGGCTGGTCAGGAAGTTTCTCTGCATTAGGCACATTGTGGTGCAGAACTGTAGGAAACTAATTAACTGTCAAAACTAATTAGCTAGTCTGCAGATATAGTGTAGGCTGAGACTTTCTCTCTTTCACATTAGAGAAAGCGAGATTAACTGAGATTAGTTGTGATGTACATTGAGTGCACGCCTGCCTCCACCACACCCCTCACGAGGCATGCAGAAGAACACAGAAATAAATGCGGTGCCACAGTTCTAACCCTGTTGCTAAGAGTAGGACGCCTTCAATCATCTCTCAGTATGGTGTGGGAATGCAATCAGAGGCATAGCAGTACCCAGTCACCTGAGATGTACTAAATAAAGTGACAGCCTTTGAACCACCGCTCTTCTTACATGTAGTGCCATAAAGACACCCACTGTGCAATGTGCACTTTAAAGCAAGGTTGTATTTTTAGACTGTTTTGTTTTTAGACCGTCAATAACACTTAAGGTTCTCATGTTACTGTTATCACTAATTACGAAGACTTTGCTTTGACTGTGAGGCTGTGACTGTAGATAAGTGTTGAGTAACCCTGGTGTTTTATTTGCAGTGCTTTGTCTCCAACTCCCAATTAAAATAAAAAATGAATGCAGTCTTTCCATGTAAATGTAGCTTATTTAGACAGATAGACCGATGAATGTCTTTGCCACCCGTACAATGGATAAATATCATAACCACTGGCATTTTGGCAATCATGTGACTAAATAATTTTACCGCACTAGCTTTGTGGGCTGACTCAGTCCTTTATTTAGCCTGTTGTTGACACTGTGTTTTAAGCAGCCCTGCCTGGTCTGTCCGAGGAATTTAATCTATGGCATATGAGATCCACAGAGAGACCATGCAGAGATTTGAAGACGTGGTTTTGTTTTCTGAGGCTTTGAGGCTGTTTTCATGTGCCCCCGATAAAACTTGCTTCAGAGCTCTGGTAACACTCATTGAAATGGGCCGACCTTTGACCTTGCCTCTCCAGGACCCCGTATCTTCTATCTCTCTCTAAACATTGCGTCGAAGAGCTGACCGCTCCAGGGCGCACACAAGTCAATCCATAATGGTTGATGTGACCTGATTTAAATTGCATTGATGGTAAGAACTAATCCATTACACCTAAGACACTCCTGCTGTTGTTCATAAACTTAACTTGTCAATATCTGCGCACAGAGGTGACCGGTCTGTTCACACTGTTTAAACGGCAAATTTGAATGCCAAGAATGAAGTTTTCTATGCATGGGTGGATGTGTTGTTAATGTTCCCTCTTAATCTTTGTTTATTTGGAAATTAGCTCTAACCCTCTGCTTTCTGGTCTTCTTCAGTTGTAGTAATTTGTTGTGAAACCTTAAAAGGTGCTTCAGCAGCCATGCGTCCCGTAGCTTGGCCATAAATCCAATATAACGGCTGCTTGACCTTTTTTCCAGCAAAGCCTTTCTGAACGTGTTGCAATTTTGCCAGAGGGATGGGAGAAGCGCACATTCCAGCCTCATTTCGCTCCATTCATTTGCAGCAGAAGCCATTCTCATCTCGTTTAGCGCGAACACACCGTTTACTCTGAGTTCTCTTGATTTAGTGGTTACTCTTCTCTTCAGGGTGTTCTTATGAGTCATTCCAGCACCACCTGACCTCTCGCCAAACTGCCAAGGCTGTATGACGCTGCCGCTGGTGTTCTGAGTAATTGCGTGCTGTAAGACGCGGCCGTCCGAAAACAAACATTTAATTTGCCTGTCCTCGTGCAGTCGCACTTGGATCTGCGTGCACCGGGGGACAGGGCTGTACGGGCCTGCCAAGTCGGTTCATAAAAGCAGCAACAGGTCTCGTATGTGCCTCTCGTCCTGCTGGTTTTAAATGCAAGTATGCCCCACCCACAATGCATTGCATGTCTCACAATGGAGGTTCTGAGTGAAGGATGTGATCCACCCCATTTGAATGTATCTTCTACAACCAGGAATGATGAATGGACTTGCATGACCTTATATATATTCCAGAGGATTATGCTCTAAATTTCATCCTCCCCTTTGAATGTCGAGCAGTTCTATCTTTAGAGAGCCGTTTGTTCTTAGCCCTGACAACCCTTTTGTCTTTCATTAAAGCATATTTTTTTAAAGGAGGGATAGTGTTATGTGTCAGCACTATTTGTGTGTTCCTTTGTGCTTTTGTTCATGGCTTTTTGTAGTGTTTGATGTTATGAATGTGCATTTGTGCTTCTTTGCCCTTGGTGAAATCTTAGATGAAATTCATGACTTTGCATGTGTGAATGGCCGCTCCCCGGTTACCAGATGTCAGTTTTGAGAAATATTTCTCTCCCTTTGCTTTGGGTGGTGATAAGTCAATTTTATGATTGGGCCGAGGTGAGCTGCTGCTCTGGCTATGAAGCAGATTCATGAACTGATAAGATAATAAATCGTCAAATCGGTGTATTTGTAAGTGTGCATAATTTGGCTTTGAATAATGACACCAAAAGATTTTCGCATCGGCTGGAAAAAGGTTTGTGGACCGACGTACAGTCAGTCAATGACTCAAGTGCCGCTGTCATAATCTATTTTCAAAGGTTATTGTTCTAACGTTCCTTCTGCCTGATGATAGCCAGATACAGATGCGGCATTAAATACTGGAAGTAGAACTGACCGCTTTGGCCACTCCCTTATTCTCTTAAATAACAATATTTAACATGTCTGTACTCTCTGTTTTCCAGGTTTTCCTCATTTGCCAAGCAGTTTGTACCCCAGCCATTACATTTCCTTGGGCCACCTTGAGCATCCACAGATCAGCCAACATGCTCTCTTTGACTCCCAAAAAGGTCTGTATATGTCTGTAAAATAACATGTTTAACCATTATCACTGTGATTTATGTATGTATATGACTATCATAACATTTAGGCCTGAATGTGTATATAAAGTTATCTATCAGGGTGAATCTCTCTAAACTGTGAAGAAATATCCAGGTCATAGTTCACACCAAATTCAAAAGAGAAAAAAATAAAATGAAGCCTATTTTAGGACTCTTGACACATAAATTACCTACAGTAATGCAAAATAATAGGCTAATAATAATAATTATTGTTTAATATTAAAATTGCTAAAATTAAGTATTTCGTGGTAGTTTTTCTTATACTGAATTTATGTAGAATTTTAATTAAATGTAAAAAAAGTTATTATTTTACTTTTATCATTATTTATTTGTTTTGTGAAAGATTCTTTTTTTCATATTTTGATTTGGGGATGAAAAATATTATTTATTATTTTAAACCATGCCATTTTTGCAGTATACTTTATCTGTCACAGTAAAATATTACCATGTAAAACTTTAGACTTAATTCTGCCTCAACAGGCAGCACATTGCTAGCGCTTGAACTTTTACATGTCCTTTGCTTTCTGCTCTGCTGTACTTGCAGATAGTCTCATTTAGAGTGTTTTAACAATTTAATAGTATGTGGTCGATCTTTTTATATACTTTCTGCACTTTAGAGCCTTTGAACAGTCTTATCTTTTGCACCAGATGTCTAAAGGTCTGACAGGCTCACTCTTTCCATTTTGTTCTCATTTTCTCAGAGGGGTTTTACCTGCCAGGTTCAGTGCACTCCCAGTCTGCAATGGCCAGGAGCCCAGTGGCTCACATGCCCGGCTCCTTCTCCAGGGAAAAGGAGGCCCTGCCTCCTCACAAAAGCTCTAAAGACTCGAACAGGGATCTGGGAAAAGAGAAGCCCTGTAAGAGTGACTTAGGCCACTCCCTCCCAAGGAAGGAACGAGAAAGGCCAAAAGAGGAGTCACGGCCGCACAGTGTGGTGGACCTCACCTTGGATGTCAAGGCAGAAGATGAGCGAAGAGTGAGCAACTCTGAGAGGTCTGCGAAAACTGCAGAACACACTTGGCCCTTCTCTCACCAGCACTCGCCTGCTCTGAGCACCATGGACACTAAACCCAAACAATCTCACCAGAGTTTACTTGGCAACTGCGGGACAAGCAGCAGCACGCCAACCAGACACCAGAGTACAGAACAGGACAGGAGGGACAGGGACCGAGATGAAGAAACCAGCCGACCAGGGGGCCACCTTTCCTCCGACAAGCAGAGAAGATGCGATTCGGTTGCTACATCAGCTGGCACTCTGCATGTGTCATATGCCAGTCCCTCTTCTCTGCAGCCCAACCCATCCCATCTCCCGCCCAGACTGGTGTCCTCTGGCACCTACCCTCCCCCTCACCACATGCCGCCCAGCATGTACCCGCTCTACTCTACTGCAAAAGAGCCAGGCAAAGAACACAGAGTGATAGCTCCTACTTATGTGCCTTCTGTCGAGGTTTACGATGAGCGAAAAGGGCCAATTCAAATTGCCTCCCAAGCTCGAGATAATAAAAATGACAAGAGTAGGGAGAGGGACTCGCACAGATCAGCCCTGCAGGTGGGAAATGAGAGAACACATATGGACCATGGTCGGTCCTCCGTTAGGAGCGAGTCTCCCCCTCATGGGGACTTTAAGAAAGACATTTTACGAGAGGAAGGTTCGATAATTAGGTTGAATGGTTTGGCCATGAAAAAGCCCTTGCATTTGGAAATGTGCACAAATAAATCTGGAAACAGCCCAGATGCCAGGGACTTATCCAACACTACATCAAAACACATGATCAAAATAGGACTCGAGACTGAATCTCGCAGCCAAGAGTGGGACAGGGCTCAAAGGTCTGCCCATCCGTTTTCTGGAATGGATCCAGCTACGCGTCACTCGGAACAGCATCCGTTGAAGGCCTTGGGTTCTGCTGAACCCAAATGGAAGCCTTTCGAGATGGGCAATTATGCTACCAGTCACATTGCCGCATTAGCGGCCCAACACACCCATGGCCCCCGAGGTGAAGAAGAGGGCAAGCGAATGTACCTAGACACTACTGGCTTACATAGAAGCAGTGGCGGAAGTCCCAAGGGGCATGGGGAGGTTTCGGCCATGCAGAGCCTCATCAAATACAGTGGCAACTTCTCCAGCGAGTCTGGCTCCAGGCACGGATCTGATAGCTGTAGTCCTTTTGGAGGACTGGGCAGCATGAAACTGGAGGCTGGTTATCCCGGCGTGTCTAGAGTTCAGCACCTTCCACCCCAGCAGTCTGGAAAGCAGTTGAAGAAGGAACCCGAGAGACCTGAGAGTGCTAAGTCCTTTGGCAGAGAAGGAAACTCTTCTCAGGGGGAAGCGGAGGTTCGTCATCCACCGGTAGGCATTGCGGTGGCTGTTGCCCGCCAGAGGGACAACAGCAGCAAGCCCAGCACGGTATCGGACAGGGACAGGCCAATTCTTGGAGGCACCATCAAAGGTGTGTTGCCTCTTATTTTAAATTACAATTCTTTAGTCAATTACTTATCCTCATGTTGTTCCAAAGCTGTACAACTTATTTTCTTCTGTGCAACACAAAAGGATATATTTTGAAAAAAGCCTCTGGTTTTTGTTGTTGTTGTTTTAGACCCCATTGACTTTTATTGTATGGGCAAAAGCAGTTCTTTTGTGGTCAGCAGAAAAAAGCAATACAACCAACCCTTTAAGGTGGCATAAATTGTACATTTCTGGTCTCTGTTCTTACATGCTTTCACGCCTTTAACAAAACTGAAGAACAACATTCTGACCCAATCTTATTTTCCGTGGTTACAGCCCATTTATGTGGGCATGCTTGACAGCAAGGTCGCTCCCTCTTTCGTTTCATTTCTTAAACAGCATGAGCTTTGCTATTGCTTTGGCTAACAGCGTTTCCTGTTAGCATAGGGAGTGTGTTAAACCGTTCACTAAGACACTGCATGCCCGCCTGCTTATAAACCTAATTTACAGAGCTTTACTAAAGGTGGCAAACAAGCAGTGCATTCTAATATGACTTTAGGTTTGTTGCTTAGCAATCGAATCTGCTTCGGGAAGGGACAGAAAAGAGTAGAGAGAATAGCATTAATTTATGTGCTCTCGTGTGCAAGGAAATTGCCGGAATAACATTAGTCCTCACACTCCGAGAGAAGGTTTAAATTTACATGTAAAACAAGTGTTGGGGACAGAGCTTTGCTTGACTAATTTGCCCTCTTTTTGATGCAAACGGATAGCATGTCGGACAGGCTTTTGGTAACCTTGGAAACACTGAAACCTTTTCCCTGGAGCATGACCGAGATCGGTGTGCACTTTCGTCCCCCTCCTCGGTTTAGAAGAACACAATCTCTTCTCAGCCGCTGACTGTCAGTACTGAAAGGGTCAATACACTCCTACCTAAATCCCGCTCAGATACTTTCTACTCATTTATCTTTTGCTATAGAGGGCTGTGTTGTTGTGGTATTTTGAACAAAGACTTCAAAAAAAGTCTCTTTTAGTTTAGTTTGAATTCTGAAATGCTGCTTGTTTTGTCTGATGATTCTCCAAATGGCTGTGTCTCTATGAAGAGCAATTTGAACTGTATATAACACCACAGTGGTGTTGAAATATTGATAAGTGACTGATGGACCTCAATGGGTTCTTGTAAATGTGATATGTTACTCTGCATAGATTCTTCGTGGGTTTTTTTGTCTGCACAGTCGGTCTGCAATCTCATAGATGTGTAAGACAGTGCTTATGACTGGTGCTGAGTATTAGGACTGATAAACACCTTTGGAGTTTGGGCTGTTTCTGGAGCTGTGTATTTATAAAGAGAAAATGGTAACATTTAAAGGATTAGTTCACTTTCAAATTAAAATTTCCTGATAATAAATAATCTTTCTTCAGTTTAACTGTATATAACACCACAGTGGTGTTGAAATATTGATAAGTGACTGATGGACCTCAATGGGTTCTTGTAAATGTGATATGTTACTCTGCATAGATTCTTCGTGGGTTTTGTCTGCACAGTCGGTCTGCAATCTCATAGATGTGTAAGACAGTGCTTATGACTGGTGCTGAGTATTAGGACTGATAAACACCTTTGGAGTTTGGGCTGTTTCTGGAGCTGTGTATTTATAAAGAGAAAATGGTAACATTTAAAGGATTAGTTCACTTTCAAATTAAAATTTCCTGATAATAAATAATCTTTCTTCAGTTAAAAAGAAATGTAAGGTTTTTGATGAAAAACATTCCAGGATTATTCTCCTTATAGTGGACTTCAACGGCTACCAAACGGTTGAAGGTCAAAATTACAGTTTCAGTGCAGGTTCAAATGGCTCTACACGGTACCAGACGAGGAATAAGGGTCTTATCTAGCGAAACGATCTGTCATTTTCTAAAAAAATTTTTTTTTACAATTTATATACTTTTTAGCCTCAAACGCTCGTCTTGTGTAGCTCTGCGTGAACTTGCATTCCGGTTCATGACAGTTAGGGTATGTGGAAAAAAAACTCCTATCTCATTTTCTCCTCCAACTTCAAAATCGTCCTAAATCATCAACCTACATTGCCGTTTTACCTTTTTTTTTTCTTCTTTATTTTAACAAAGGGTGTTTGACCTTTGCATGTTCACTTTGTAAACACTGGGTCGGTACTTCTGCAGCAATGTAGGACGATTTTGAAGTTAGAGGAGAAAATGATATTTTTCGACATACCCTAACTGTTTAGAACGGGACTGCACCGAGGACGCATGCGCATTGCAGAGCTACACAAGATGAGCATATATACAAGTATATACATTTTTATTTTATTTTTTTAGAAAATGACAGATCGTTTCGCTAGATAAGACCCTTATTCCTCGTCTGGTATCATGTAGAGCCCTTTGAAGCTGCACTGAAACTGTAATTTTGACCTTCAACCGTTTGGTAAACGTTGAAGTTCACTATAAGGAGAATAATCCTGGAATGTTTTCATCAAAAACCTTAATTTCTTTTCGACTCTAGAAAGAAAGACGTAAACATCTTGGATGACATGGGGGTGGGTAAATTATCAGGAAATTTTAATTCGAAAGTGAACTAATCCTTCAAGTCTTGCCAGACTGGCAGACGCTACTAGGGTTTGGTTTTTTAAAGCCAAGAATGGTCAGAAATGCATGTATTGGTATCTTAAATGATTAGTGGTGCAACGGATCACAAAACTCACGGTTCGGATCATATTACAGATTTTGAGTCACTGATCGGATAATTTTTCGGATCAGCAAAAATAAAAAAACCAATTAGATAAAGCTTACTTTAAGTACTTCTATACCACAGCAAAACTACTAGCTTTAGTAGTTAGTAATAAAACACGAACAATTACACAAATTACAAGCATTGATGAATACAACAAAACACAGTTACAAATAGTCAGTAACGGTAGTATTCAGGTGCAGAAATGTAATAATTAAGTGTAAAATAACACAATAGTGCTCACTACACAAGTTAAATACAGATTAATCTTTGTTAAAGCTGTGGTTATTTGATTAGCAGACAGAAACAGGTATTTATTGGCTGCTGTCTCTTTAAGACCAAATGCACGGACCTAATACTGACACACATCAGGTTTTTTTTCTCAGCTGTTTGTTCACTTAAGACATAACAGACTGTGTTTACTAGAATACTTGCCAAAACGGGTATTTTAACATAACTGTGTGTATGTGAAAGAGGAATCGATTCGCTGTTCACATGGTGTCTCTCTCTCTCTCTCTCTCTCTCTCTCTCTCTCTCTCTC